GAAACTGGTGACTGATTGCTCTTTTCAACAATCTTACCGTACAGATTTTTGGAGCGCTTTCATCTGATCCCTTCAAAGTGAGCGATCATTTCTATGGCACAGGGGAGACCTTCCTGTTTACCTTCAACCCAGAGTATCAGGTTGGTGAAGAAACACACATTGTTCTCTGAAAGCAATTACAAGCCAAATGCATAATTTTAACCTCCCTTTGCACTAAAATAATGTGTTCGCCACAAGCCACTAAAGGCGAGCTGATTGATTTAATTTTGAAATGTGCGAGTCACTGTGCCCTTCGCTCTGTGGGAGGTGGGGATGTTCTATTCCCAGCGGTTATTGGTCGTATTACAGATCCACATTGGCCTGTTCTATCGTTACACAATCATTAATATTCCTCACTGCTCTCTCGCTATGTGGAAGACTGATAAACTCTATCTGACATGTTACGAAACATACCTTCATTTTTTTTTACATATCTCTACGCAACTACTGCTCACTAAGTCAGTAGAGTCTACTGGTCATGCTCTGCTGTATATTTTAAAAATCCGTAATCAGCATCATTGACACATCTCCTTGATGACATCCACACGAGCAGTGCTGGATACAGTGAATGGCATTTATTTTTACTATTCTCTGATTACAATATATTTATACGTTCAGAATTACGTCCCTATACACATTGCAGCACATGCTAGCAAATGTACAAAGCGTTTCACTAAGCTCTGCAAAAAAAAACACAGTTCGAAGACAATAACTGGAATCTCCAATAATCAATGAAAATCGATAGGGGGTACTTGAGACAAAACAGGGCTCAAGTAACAGGCTGCATGAGATCTTATCCTTTGCTCAATAGGATTTGCTCCCTGCTGTCACTGATTGAAAAAAACTACACACACATTCACCTCCGAAGGTTATATTCTCTGAGATGTTTATCCTCATAATTCGGTAAGAGGAAATTACACATACACGTTCATCCCATTGACTTTGCCTCATCGCACATATTCCCATTGCAGTGCTACAAATGGACTGGAGACAACCTATTCTTCATTAAAGGAGATATGGACTCGCAAAATAAAAAGTCACGATATATATAATTCACGATAATATATAATTATATATAATTATTTTGAATTTTATTTTTCTACCGACGTGACTTTACCGAAAGAACCAAAGAGTATGGATTCCTGCAGTCACGAAAGCTTCAAATCAAGATGTCATACTTCCTTTACACGCAAAAATGAGATTATCGTAGTTATGCAACGCACCCATTTTTTCATTTTTTTATTAATATTCACATTTTTTCTACGCAAGCTATGACTCTTGAGAATGATGCTACGCAGGGGGTCTTTGACGAACGCCCTTGCAGAAATCCGAATGCTTGCATAATATATAATTCTCCAGCGAAATCATCTCAGAGCTGGGTAAATTGTGCAACTGAATTGGTGTGAACTTAATGGCTCGCAAGCTTCATTCGTCATTACGTAAATGACAGCTCATTCATTCCTAATTAAATTCCATTTTTCCTCATGTAATTTGTAAAACTATACAAAGGCTGGCTCAATTAGTTCTACGCAGCCTGTTTATCAGGAAGTCCTGAAAGCAACATGCACTTACATTTAGCAAATAAGTGAGAAAAGGACATCGTTTACGGCATTGCAAAAAGCATTAGGCGGAAGGCCGAATGAAGATGTTGCTGCCATTAAAAATAAGAGAGACTCTTTCAATGATGCAAATGCATTTGAGTAACATATGCCTTGTATAAAGGTGTCAGATTTTGTACCAGTTAAAAGGGTAAAAACCTATTACTATATGCCCTATTATCAACTGTATATATTTATTTAAATTATAACTAATAAATTATCAGGCCTCGACTAATGTATTACGGGCTTGCAAAGCAACACGACTTTTTGTAGCTGCACTTCGTGTGGCCACTGAGTAAATGCTAAGTTCTGATCAATCCAGCCGCCACCTCTGGTTAAATGCAAAGCCGTTACTCTGGGACACTTTTTTTGCCAGGCTGTCTCTGGTGTAGGCCAGTTTCAAAGACAGTGCACACTGTTTGGCCGTGTCGGGTGGTCGAGGGTTACGACACATTTATAAATAACGCGATCTGACCAAAAACCTATATTATGAATATTATTGATCGCGAAAGCCTACGTGTTAAATTTACAGCACGTTTGTTTGCATTTTTTCCAATTATGTGTGGTCAATGCAGACTTGATGCTTTGTAATAGTTTTATATTTGGTGATTGAACATCTTAATACCTGTATTTATATGCCATAAAGGGTAATAAAGCCCTTTTTATCATCTTTCAATGTAAAAGGCTGCAGTTTAAGTTGCTAAATTTCATGGATCTTGCTATATTTATAGCAACTTTAATATCCTGACGTTTAAATTATGTTTATTGAAGCTCTGATAAAAGCTAGCTGCATTAAGCTTCTGCACCAATAACAATGGCCCAGCATAAGTCATATTCTTATAAGAATAGGTTTGTCCCCTTTTTTCTGACCACAATACTTGTGGTCAGAATGTGGTCAGAATGCAAAAAAACACATACTCTGATAAACCATGCATTGTCCTTGAAACTGATGAGTCCACACCAGAGACAGCTTTCTTTTGAGCCTCGTCTCAAACGGTGTTAGACCAGAGGACGCCAAAAGGCATACAGCTCAAAAGACAATGCACTATCAGAGTTCGGGGTGAGCATAGGTCCCATTATGTAGATGCTCACCCCGAGCTTTCATTACTCTGATAGTGCATTGTCTTTGAGCTGTACGCCTCTCACATTCTCCTGCTCTCATTTTATGTCGTCATCCCCTTCCCATGATGCAATTCTGCAGATTCAAATGAAAATATTTATTTACATCCGTTTGTGTATCCATATCTGAGGACTGGAGTTCTACTCTCTGACTGCTTAAACACAAAGTAATTTTTGTTATTTAGTTTGTTGTCCTTCCACTGCAACTCCGATTGGCACGGTTGGCTAGTAATGTACGAAAGAAGTTCAACGTACATACAGACAAGGGGAAAAAACGTCCGATATTGATTCACAGCTGTGCATGTCATCTCCCTTCAACGTGCTAGGGCACCAGTATGAAGCGTTGTTTCCAACTATGAATCAGCACATTTGTTATACCCTGAAAGGTCATCATTGACAGAAATGTGAGCCGATTATATGTTTTACGAGACAGCATTAATTACTTATAGATTTAACTACACTTATTTGCCAATCTTATTTGACAGACAACCATCACAGTTTTACCATGTTTAGTGGTGGTCTCCCTGTTACAGGTTGAGTCACAAACCGCACCTCTCCATAACAAAGGCTCAGCCTTTGTTATGCAGTCTATTCTTAGTCTTAAGCCTCACCTTACCATATTAATAAAAGTATGTGGCCCTTACCCCACCACCTTCTCCAACCATTATATAAACGGAGTGGTAGCTTCTGAAATCTCTCATTTACTTGATACAGCTGTCGTGGCTGTGACGGTACCACCTGAAGACGGAAGCTTGTGTTGCTTCCGAAACGTCGTGATTTTTTATTTTATTTTACTTTTAATGTTTTTACCTACGTGACTTTACGAAAAAACCTAAGAATATGAAGCATTAATTACGAATGTGGTGAGCGTTTTGATTTGTGCCAAGGCCCTGATGCTGCATAACAATTTCTCGCGAGCAGCAACATGCCTGAGTTCAGCAAGTGACTACATCTTCTTGGTTCTTTCGGTAAAGTCACGTAGAAGTGAAATAATAAAATAATAAAAATAAAACATAATAAAATAATTCTCACGACGTGGCCGAAACGTCGTGAGATTGATTTTATTATGTTTTATTCTTATTATTTTATTATTTCCCTTCTATGTGACTTTACCGAAAGAACCAAGAAGATGAATCCCTGCAGTCACGAAAGCTTTAAATCAAGTGACTACAGTGAGCATTTTTAACACTTCACTATTCAATATGAATTATCTCGGCACATTGTGACGTGGAAGCAGAACGTTGCTCAGTTGGGATATCTACCGCTTTACTGTAAAGGAGATTCTGTTTTGCTTTGGGGCATTGTTACATATTTATCAGACATGTTCGCTTACACTGACAAACCTTATTTTCTAGCTGAACTCTTATGAAGTGCTGGGGTATTTTAACATCCCCAAGTTACAGGACAGCAGCAAACTTTGCATCGTCCACATATTTGTGACAAAAAAAATTGCGTAAAAAAAACCCAAGTAGGTTGCTAATGTTTAAACCACGGTATTTCCATTTCAATGAGAGGACCGGCTAAGGTTGTGGCGGCAGCACTCAACATCAGCGGAAAGGATCAAATCAAGAAGCAAGGGAATCTATGAAGGCAAAGACTGACTCGGCAACTCAAGGATAGGATGCTCAAAGTTTTTCGGACAACGAAAAATAAAGTATGATAAAGAAATCGGCAAGCTGCTGATGTGGAGAACATGGAAGAAGATGCTCTTAGGTTTTTTCGGTAAAGTCACGTAGATAAAATAAATAATAAAATTAAATAATAGAAATTATAATAGAAGTAAAATATAAATCACGATGTTTCAGAGGCAACACAAGTCTCCGTCATCAGGTGGGACCGTCACAGCTAGATTTACTGTATCATTTACTTGATACAGAGACTTGTGTTGCCTCCGAAACGTCGTGATTTCTAATTTTATTTCTATTATTATTTCGATTATTTTATTTTTATTATTATTTTTATCTACGTGACTTTACCGAAAAAACCTAAGAGTATGAATCCTTGCAGTCACGAAAGCTTCAAATCTAGAATGGAAGAAGAAACAAAGCAACAGAGGCACAAGCCAACGCTGACATCCTCTGCAGAGACAATGAGTTGGAACCGGAGGAGATGGCAAACATTACGAGACTAGAAGCTGTAGACCTTCATCGTTCTATCTCGCAGCGATCGGAAGGACCTACTGAGAAGAAGAAGAATGCACGGAGGGAAGTTTTATATCGTAACTGACGACTCAATTATGCTTACCTGCCGGTCAGTGTCTTTAATCACAAGCAACATGGGGGAGTCCAGACCAACCATGGTGCGGTAGAGGGTTTTAAGGCTCATGCCATGCTTGGATGTGCTATAGGCGAGCGTCCATGGGTATCCCACCGTGCGAGGGGGAAGGTTTGCTGCCAGCTGCAACACGAAGACACACCAAGCATTTTTGTCGAATTAGTATCAAATGTATTCACAGATTTCAGCCCGTTAATAAAGTTTAAATGGGCCACTGACTGCCACGTGAATTTCACAGAATTTATTTTGCATCATTTTCACATGAACCTGGAAATATGCATAAAGTGCAGTGGACCAGAAAAGTTTAAACTAGAGTGATCAGTATTGATTCCCCATATTTATCTTTTGGTGTAATTACTAATTAAACGTGGTATATAATGTTCTATATTAATAAAAATACAAGTACTCTCTGGCAATGGCAATGCATAGAGATAAAAGGTGTCAATGGTGGCTGACATGATTTGTTCTGTAGTTTTCAAGGATTGTCTCGTTTTAATGTCGTGGGAATACAGCCACCAGATCCGGTTCCTTTTTTTCTGATACAGGAACTCATTGATAACAAAAAACACAACGACCAGCATCGCTAATGCCATGCAACAGTGACTAAGTCCCAATCAACAGGGTGCCTTCGACAGCCTTCCATTCTGTCCACCCACAGATGTGAATGTCCCCACAGTGACTTGATGTTGTGTTACACTAAAGACTATACTCTTAGTTCTTTCGGTAAAGTCACGTAGGTAAAAAATGAAATTAAAATTAATAAAAAATAAAAACATGATTTTATTATTTTAATTTCATTTTTTACCTACGTGACTTTACCGAAAGAACTAAGAGTATGAATCCTTGCAGTCACGAAAGCTTCAAATCTAGAACACTAAAGACTGAGATGAAGATAATTTCAACATAACATAAATTGAAAGTTTATTTGATATTAAACGTGTGAATAGTGAGAACATGAACAACTGCCGCTCGAGTAAGCCGAACAAATTCACACAGTTTCATTGATAGGATTCCAAAAACAGCAGGGTGACAGATTATTTTCACTCAGTTCAAAATCTGCAGTATATGCAGTGCAGGATGTATTATTAGCCAAGGCTGAGCAGGGAGATGTGTGTGGCTGACCCATCGAGACTGGACCTTTATTTAAGCAAAGCTCAATGGAGCTGTGGCATATTCAAATATTCATGGGTAGCGTGCTGCTAACAACTGCTCTTACTTTTAAATAACAATAAAAGGAACTGGGAGCGGGTATTTGAACATATATTATTAAAACGTGCAACAAAGTAATTATACGAACAATGATGTTTAGATCATGTGGCCTTCCTGTAATTAACATTTCATCTTTGGAGTTTAGAGTCTAGCAAAAACATATTTTCTTGTTTTACTTTCATAGCAATGGGCCATTACATGAACTCAATTAATTGAGTCCTGAGCTGGCTGCGGATCAATCACACTTCACACTCGGGGTAGGAGAGTTAAGACAGATAATGAAAATGGTTTTCCATCGCCACATGCCTTATTTATGTGATCCTGTTCCAGTATGGAGCTGGAGCTGTTGAGGACTGGTTTCCATGCCTCTGGCCCTAGATCAATGGTCGAAGCCATTGGGCCATGCTGCCTCTTTGCTTCATCTGCAGTCACGATCTATGTGTGCGAGTAAGCAAGTATTAGAACATATACACACACACACACTCAAGTTCTCTCTCTCTCACACACACACACACACACTATCACGTGCAAGGAAATTACCCCACTCAAAACACACTCGGGAATTCTAATAGTTATTTGCAAAATATGTTTTGTTGTTGTTGTACACGCTTGTGTGTCTTGACATGTGAGGCACACCAAGGTATGACAGTGAAAAAAGGATCAATTGAATGCACCATATTCAATTGATAATTGTTGCCATCACCATAGAGTGAAAATGATTATTAGCCAGTGTGTATCAGCCAGTGTCATCATCTTGCACAAGCCATGTTTCCTAAAAGTGTACAGTAGCTGCTAGGCTTACATTAAACGAGCCATCGCAATGCAACAGATTCTGTGGGTATCTGTTTGCAATTGCTGATGACTGTGTTGATGACATGATATTACGTAGAAAATTCCCTCAGCTATTTTCCATTGCACAATTCATTTAAGCAGCACTTCAAAAGTGTCTGCAGATTATTAATTGATTAGTAACATGGAGCAAACAGTTTTTACCATTAGCATCTCCTGGAATGCATGGTGTATTTCATAAGGGAATTTTCTAGAGTAAAATAAGAAACCCAAAATAACCACAAAGACATGCATAATTTGACAAATAAAACACAGCGGGACGCAGCAAGCAGTATTATGAGTGATAACAATGAAAGCAACAATGATGAAAAAAAAAATCACTCCTAGGTCCTGCCACCTTCAGACGTTTGCAGAGGTTACGGAGTTCTCCCGAATTAAGTTCATCAATTCTGCGATGGTACTCACTGACAGAAACAACCTAAACAAACAAGACGCAGGAGGGCACAAGGAAACAAAAGACAAACACGTGGCTCCACAAAATGGACAACTTTGGCATGGACAAGAAATAAAATAAAAAAAACACATACATATATAGCAACATTTAAAGCTGCTACGCTGATCACTAAGTTATCACATTAATCCGAAAAGTCGGGTTTTTTTTCCTTTATCAAATATGCACAAGACTACATGTTAGAAGAAATTTGAAAGCGCAAGCTTGGCATATTAATGTATTCAAATGGGCAACTATTCACACTATTAATATTAATTTCTCAAGATTTATTACCGCCATTACATACATATATATGTACTCTATATAAAAACACGTGCATGTATAGGGCGGCCACAAGCTATGTATTAACATAGTTACGGTTAAAAATATCAAAACCTGTAGAGACAGCCCCGTGTTACGTCTACTATGTTCAAGATCAATCGATTGTGATGTGGGCTTGTGCACACACTGCGTTAACTATCCTTATGGCGGTACCCCGGGTTACCAAATAATACAAAATGGCCGAGGCAATTAAATATTTTATTTCTGGGACACAATTTTTTCCAGGGGTGTACTTAACTCCGCGACTGGGGTACCAATCAATCCGAAATCGGTGCTACTCCGCGATGTCGAAACGCAGCGAGGACGACTGCGCTGAAACCCTGAACGCTCGTACGCACCACGTGGTGGTGCATCGCGTACAGCTCGTCGAGATGAGTCGATTGTCGCATCGCCGACCATCAACAGACTAAAAATGACTGCATCGCTATGATACCCCGGGGGTACCGCCATAAGTTTAATTATGCAATGTTGGCAGACAGCATCAGACTCAGCCAGCCCCAAGGGCTCACAGTCAAATAGCTCACAGCGAAAACACATTATCAAATATAATGAAGCTGTATTATTGACATGTTATTGCAAGCTGTATTATAAAAAAAAACAATAAATATGCATACAGAGCTAAGAATAGTGCCATTATAAAGTCATTTTCTGTAGGTTAGGCAAAGTAACCATGACGAAACACGAGTGGAAAAACCAGAACACTTGTTTTCTTGCGGCTATTCGGCATCATTTAACTATTTACTATTCACATCCATCATGAAGCAGGTAGTGATTTGTTCCATTACATTTTTGATACGCACTTTAAACTGCATTTTTTTTACGACGATAATGCAGTCATGTTCTGGAGTGATGAACACATTTCAAGAGCAGTGTGAAGTTGGCTAAAATGTGCGATTGCAGAGACAGAGATCTTGAAAACGTTGTTCATGACATTTGGGCAATAACCTAATGTTGTCAGTATTTCATGTTCACCAGCAAGCAAGATAAAGGCATGCCATCAGAGGGACAGGCAGGATACTTTTATAAAAATCAAAGCTCTCCCTTGGAAGGGCACTATTGCATCTCAATTGGATCTCACCTGCTGTTATATACAGATGTGATTTATTAGTGAAGTAATGCGTGGCCTCGTGGTGAGCAATGCCAGGTGTAACCCAAGCATGAGTTTTCTCGGTGATAACTTTTCTATGTATTCTACCACCCCCAAGGTCCTGAAACGACACACGTTTCCATCCAGGGGAGAAAAGTATTGAAGTACTCACTAACCGAGAACTATAGACAGAGTTGTACAGTTAAAACCCTAAAAAAACCCTACACAATGTCCAAAAACTAGAACCATTTTCCAATGTGACAAGTTGAACAAAGCACAAGGAAACTATTCGTCGTTCAAGTGCTGTCATAAATACTAAAATTCACTGTACGATGATGAACGTTTCTCTGAAAATTTGACCGGTGGGTTAGTATTTACGGGTAGGCTGCTGGGCTATGGAACTTACCTCCCATTCCTTCCCAGAGGCCTCGTCATAGACGTCGTCGATCATGTCGGACTCCTCACTCTTCTCCACCACCACGAAGCCGGGCTCTTTGCCGGGCTCGCCTCCCTCCATGCCGTACACCTCGGGGCTCCACTGCACGAAGAAGGCGAAGAGGTGATCCGCCCTGCAGACACACGGACAGCGGGAGCAGCCACGTCACAAATATCTATTTAACAATTTTTCTTTTTATTTCACCAGGTAAGGCCCACCGAACTATATAGCTCTTTTTCAGAAGCGACCTGGCCACAAATGATAGCTCAACGAATATGTTTGTCAAGTGGAAATTTATAGCAGCCAAATACTCTAAACGCGTGTTAATTAAAAATATGGCGGGAAAAACAGGAGGCCTCGGAGGAAAATCCACACTGTCACGGCGATCAAACCCACGACCTCCTGTATACCAGGCGATGTCGTTAACATCTCACCACCGTGAAGATCAAAGCTGTTGATGCCACCGCACCTCGTTAACTCTTTCGACCATCTGCCAGACCACCCCACAGGTACTGCACAAGTCTTGTGACTCAAAAAAAATCTGCCCAAAAAGTATCCCACCATCTGGTCGTAGGTCTTCCCATTGGCTGTCAGACTCATGGAGACCACTCAGATGCCTGTCACCTTCCCAAGACAACCTCTACTGCTTGAATCCACAAAAGAGAAATGCAATTAGGTACGCATGGCCAGGAGTAATGTCAACCGGAAAATTTACGGGTACATTTTATGGTTACGTTAATTATATTTGGATATATGTTGAACAAAGTGCAGTTATTTAGCTCCAAAATTAATTTACAATCAAACAATTCTGTGCATGAAATTAAATATTGCGTGCAATTAAATTCACCTGACAAATGTAATAACACATTTAACAACCTTTGTATGAGATATAGTTTATGGGAAAAGATCTTAAGGCCTAGGGCAATATAAAACATAGTGTTATATTAAGGCTCAAATCAGACACGGTAAACTCAAATTAAGGCTAATAGGGCTTTGTTCAATAAAAAAATATAACACTGAGTAACAGAATACACATTAAGAGTGTGTGTGTGTTGTGACCTCAGGTGCACTGGATGTGTTGGTTAATGCACAGATATCCTGTGCTACTGTTGCACAATATATGCAGCCTATAAATCATTCCATTTAATGGCCATGGATAGCCGAGAACAATACACTTTGTGTAAAATAGCGGGCCCAACATGAATTAGTTGGATTAGGGATGACATCATTGTAGGAAGTCACCAGCCATGGCTGTCTATTCTATTGCTCTTTTGCATTGCGAGCTATAAAAGGTAGGACAATTAAGGGGCTATCCTTTGAGCACGTACGCAAAAATCTGTCACAATTTGACTACTCCTCCTCCCTGTACGCATGCGTACTTTTTACACTCCCCCCCACCTGCGTGCGTACGTACGTTTGACGCACCCCCTCCACGACTCCTATAGAACGGCCGATATTTAATCCACGCAGAAACGATCAAGGATTAATCATATTAACGTGTTTAAGCAAACACATAGTCCACCGCCGGAGTATTGTAGAGGCGTACGTACAGACCCCTATACACAAGCATACGCATTTGGGTTAACCCCCCCTCCACCCATATAAGATTTTAAGCAAATATACAAAACTACCATATAAATGATGACAACATATTTGCTAAGTTTTCTTGTACTTGCTTTAGGTTTTATATCATTATGTACGGGCCAGGGGTATTAATAAAAACAGCGTATCCATGAACTGCACAATAGTTATAATACTTTCAAGTTATATACTGCAGCGTCATTCTTGCAAAAAGCATCCCATAACACTGTACATTAATTATAAATGAGGACCAAATCCCATATACAGCCACTACCAAGCAAAGGAAAACTACTACCGTGCAAAAGAAAAAAAAATGAATAAACAAATTGATAAATTTCGATTTAAAGCTTTCGTGACTGCAGGGATTCATCTTCTTGGTTCATTCGGTAAAGTCACGTAGAAGGGAGTAATAAAATAATAAAAAAAAACAATAAATAATTCTCACGACGTTTCGGCCACAACGCAAGCAGCCGTCCTCCGGTGAAGAACAGGACTATTATTTCCCTTCTACGTGACTTTACCGAAAGAACCAATAAAATTGATGAATGGCACCAAAATAAGAAGCAGTTTCCCCAACAAAGAAATACTCAACCAGTCTGCAGTGAGACACTTGCCATCTGATGGCAAGTTCTCACCAAGTCCAGACTGCTCCAATAACCACACTCGCACGCTTAAGCACAACCTTGGGTTACCTTCGAAGCAGGAGTTTTCTCTGCAAGTGTTCCCGTCAAGGCCTGGACGCACCGATGTGCACTGCATAACGTGCGTGTGCCAATATCAAACGCCGAGGCTTTCCAGCACTGCAGACCACTCCACATGGCCAAGCGATCACGTGGGTGTCCGCAAAGTCAACAAGTAGAGGGCGGGACCCATCTGGTTTAAATTTGCCATGTACCAAGTATGTCCCTAGCGGTCACGGTCACAGTAAATAACCAATGGTGGTTTTAACACCACCGGCAAAATGACTTGTGTGTTATAAATACCACCTTTGAAGGGCATAGTATAGGATATAAACCGGAATTCCGGTTGGGCTTTCTAACATTTCTTCTGCCTTATACTACGTATACAGCAGTGCGGTTGCAAATGTCGAAGTCCCATGCGTGTGTCTATGTGTGCAGGGACATTTTGTAAAAGTATTAATAAAAAATACGTAATTTTCCCATATGAGACATTTATACCATTTGGCTATTTTTCGTTTCCTTTGTTCACCTCCTGAAATAAACGATTGATGCAGTTCGGATTGGCAATCACCGTACAGTTATAATTTAAAATAAGTATGCAATTGTCGATACAGCAATCTCACTGTAATATAAATCAGCAGTGGCGTTAATCAAAGCTGCTGTGCCGTTTAGCGCATGAAAATCAACGTGGAAATATTTGAACCCTTTAATTTTGCACCAAGTTGAAATATTTCTCAAAACTACAGCAACATCGTTTCGCCCGTGAAGTCATGCGAGTGAAAACGGCTGCCGTCATCCTAATGGAGACCGTCAAGCAAATAACTTTTAAATGAACAAACTAAATTAATTAACTTGAAATAACTAATTCAACCTAACTTTTGAATTCACCTCCTGCCGGTCACTTTTTAAAGAGCCGTACATACCGACACGAAGAAGTCTTACGCGTCACAGGGGGAGCAACGTGTACAGTACGCGTAATAAATGCAAACGCCGCATTTATTTCCATCAAATGGAAGAACAACAAACTTTCAGACACGATAACATCACCACATCACAGTTGCTTATTATGTACAGCGACAACCCCCGTGTCACTGGCAACCGAAGGCTAAATCTCTTTTTACCGGTTTGTCAGATGTAATTTTCACGTGCGATTGGATTTTGGTAGCAAAGCCTAAAAATGGCACCGAAAAAATGGGCGACGACACATTATACTGTATATTCTTGGTTCTTTCGGTAAAGTCACGTAGAAGGGAAACAATACAACAATAAAAATATAAAACAAAAAATTCTCACGACGTTTCGACTGCAACACAAATTTGAAAAAAGTGGCGTTTTATTAAAAATTTCTTGCTGTGTTTTTCACACCTGATGATGATTCCTTGTGTTGCAGTCGAAACGTCGTGAGAAGTTCATTGTTTTATATTTTTATTATTTGATTTTTTCCCTTCTACGTGACTTTACCGAAAGAATCAAGAATATGAATCCCTGCAGTCACGAAAGCTTTAAATCAACATTACGCTGTGTAACAAATAAATATATGTTTTGGTTCCTGGGTAGTAAGTGTTATTTTCTAATTGCGTATGCCTCAAAAGTACAGAAAATTGATATTATGCCCCACAAACTTTGATTTTGTGACCAGGACAGTGATATTTTGAAATGTACCTATTTTCAATGGGAAAACGTGTGCATTTGTGTCATTCCTTCACATAAAGTCCTGGTCACAAAAGCAAAGTTTGTGGGGAATAATCGCCATTTTCTATACTTTTGAGACATAAGCAATTGGAAAATAACACTTACTACCTAGAAACACAATCGTGTTACATATATAATGCACCACTATCCCAAGAAAGGGCAGGACTCCTTCAAATTCCAAAAACTGTCAAAATAATATAATTTTGTGTTGGATATACGCCAGCTCCGTCTAGTGGACAGAAAAATTGTACTGTATCTAACAGCACAAGTGTGCCTTGGGTGTGGTACTCACATTAGGGAAATTAACATGTTTTTATAAAGTTAGAGCAAGCCCCTTATGCTCACCACAAAGCGAAGCATTTTTTTGACAACTCGTGGTTCAAATTTGCATAATTCCAGAGTTCTAGAACATGGGTTATACCCATGAATATTTTAAGACAAGGACAAACAACCCAGACTTGGCAGGCCAGATGGAGTAAATGCTTCTACATCAACCCATCTATTATACGAGCTTGTAAATTGTGCATCATGTATTTCACACATCTGTTGATTCATTGGCATGTTGACAACAAATGATGGAATGCACGCTGGGATTTTGCTGTCAACCCAATGCTATATCGCAAGACACTTAAAAAAATAGAAGTCCACTCTCAAATGTGTTTTCGCATTGTATGGCGTGTTGTTGGATATGTCCATTGTTATGCTTCAGTTCAATTGCTGAAGAAGTTACAATAATATTGATGAAATCATGATATACTATCAGAACCTCAGCACATGGGCAAAACGTTGGGCATCACGGCAGACACCACCCAGGAAATTCCAAATAACATCGGCGACCTTTACAGCAAATACGCAAAATCATATGTCGCTCCAAAACGTCCCCATTTGCCAAACCTGAGACAGTCAATAGTCCAGAGGAACATTCTGTTGTTTTAGAACAGCATTTCAAAAGCGTTTGAAAGGGCAGCTGTGCGAACCGAGCGTGTACAGACACGTGTTTTTTCTCTTACCTTTCCTGTGGCACGGCAAACCAATATTCTGGTTCAGTATCCTTCTGGGCATACTGTTGCATGCTGGCCTGTGCATGCGTAACGAATGTCTTCATCATGGGCTTGCCCACTCTCAAGCACAGGAACATGACTGCCTTCTTCACCCGTTTTTCACTGGAGAAGACATCTGCAGGGATGACAGGAAAACAGAAGGAAAATTTCATGACAGTGGGTTGCTGCTCTGCAATAAATGCATAAACGTCACATTGCTAGCGGTTTTAATACATCAATGTACCGCCATTTAAAAAAAATCTAAGTATTAAGAGTAACATTCCAGCCGAAGCACCATTCCACTCATCTCTCCGCAGAAAGTTCAGTGCTCCAAAAGGGGTTAGAGGTTGGCAAATATATTCTAGGAAAAACAGTCAGAGTTGTGTTCAAAAATAAATTAGTATTTCTTAGGTTATTGCAAAAGATAAACAGATAGACACTCGCCTGCATGCTGTATGTTATCTCTCTGCTCTCGCGTATGCTGCAATGTGTGCGACTTCCACATCTTTCTTAGCTCCTCGAGTTCTTCTGTCTGCCCTACAACTCCCTTGGCACCTTCGTTAACTTTCTCAGGCTCTTTTTCGACTGAAGCGTTTGGTTCAGATTCTGCCGGGGCTTCGGCGCCCGTCTCTGGTTCAGCGGACGCCCGCTCGTCTTTGGCTTTCTCGCTGCCGTCCAAATGATCGCAGGACTTCGATCCGTCTCCGTCCGCTTCAATAGAGACCTCGTGGCAGGTGGTCTGTGTCGTGGTATCACTGGAGGAGCCTTGGCTCTCGGTGCTGTTCAGATCACGGCCCCCTAGAGATGCATCACCGGCATCCTGCGAATGGCTGGTGACGAAACCGCTGTCGCCCGTGGTCCGAGCTTCGTCCTGAGCAGAACCCGCACACAGCTCCGGCGGCTCTGAAGCCGTGAGCGTCTTGTCAGAACCACTGTTGTTGGCAAGGCCCTCGGCTGACCTCGATGACTGCTCGAGTTCATCCGAAGAGGCGACCTCCTCCCGAATGGGAGACAACTCCGATTCCGTGAACACCTCTTCCGAGAGAGACTCCTCGGTGCTTTTTGGTGCGGTGCTTGCGCTGTCGTTGCCCGCCTCCACGAGCCGGGACTCCCGCTCCTCGCCGTGTGGTCTGATGCTGCTCGTCTTCTTCCCCAATGCCAAGTTCATCCACTCTTCAGGCCTGTTGAATGAGTAATACGTAATATTTTGAAAACTTTTTTTTTAAACACGCTTTAATAAAATGTACCGTACGAGTAATGGCAGAACTCCACGACTCCAGGAAGTGGCCCCGAGGCTTGCCATAACGTAAGGGACCGTGGTGATTTACAGCCAACGTCAGTTGAGCGTGGACAATTAGACCCAAGCCGAAACATAACATATAAAAGAATGTTAAAAAATATATAATTTTATTTTTTATGATAGAATATAGTATTGTCATCAGTATGACATAAGTATACCAAGTTTGCAGTCGATACCACATTGGGAAGTGGGTTAAAATTGAGTTACAAGATTTGAGGATACAACAACAACAAACAGAGTGAGTTAATAAAAAGCGTGTAAAACATACCATCAACTAAGAAATATTGCACACGTTACAGAGCTTTTAGGAAAAGTAGCATGTTCTCCGAATATTTATTTTTCAGAATATTTATTCATATCAGAATTTGTATGTATACTGGAAGAATCTGATAAGCTCTAAAGCTCTTTTTCACAGATGTTCAGTAATATTTATTTATATCAGAATATGTATTACTGGTAGGAACCTCCTGGTTACACCAGCCCACAGGGATTATTGTGTCCGTCCGTTCGTCCGTCGTGCATCCAAAAATGGGAGGGGTGGGGCTGGGTGGAGAGGGGAGGGTGGGGAGGGGCTGGGTGGGGGGTAGGAGGGGTGGGGCTGGGTGGGGAGGGGCTGGTCACCCCGTGGTGCCCTTATAAAACTCAACGTTTAACCTACACACGCCGGCTTGTACCCGCCCTCACAGTCGGCCATATTTGCGGAATACACCACGCCGCCGTTGACCCTGGCCATTGACCGAGCAACCCAACGTTCCTACCAGCTCCCTCCGCAGGAATGTGTTTACTGGGGGAATCCAATACTTAGCTATGAAGCTCTTTTTCACAGATGTCCAGTAAGGACAGGTAAGAACGTCACAACAACAAACAATACAAAAACATGATAGGAGTGCCAAGTATAGGAAATGTAAACAAATCACTTTTTAAAAACCCGAGGTATTAACTTATTTTTGAGAAGTGACCTGGCCACAAATGATGGCTCAAAGAGTGTCACATCATGAGTTCCGCATGCGCTCATCCGCACGAGAGTCACGCAAACATTTATTTTTGCCGAACGGTAAAACCAATTGGAGACAGTGAAAATGTTAACGCACATCGGAGTGACATCCTTTATCTTGGTGTTGACGATATCGTGGTACATGGCTGCAGATATCACTTCATCCATTGGACAAATAATTCCATACTCCTCACAGCCGTTCGCTACCACCAGGGGGTCAAGCTTGTGAGGATCAAACATGATGTTGTTTGGTGTGACCAGAAGCACCCCTCCCACCACTCCCTGCAAGAAACAGAAATGTCCACAGTCAGAGGTTACAAAACCCGTTTCAGCCATTAACACCGAATTTACACGTAAGACTGATTTCTGTTCAAATTTGTCAGCATCGTTTATGAACTATACCACACTTTTACTTCGAGGTGCCAGTTCAAGGCATGTTTACTCAGGAAGGAAGGAAGTGGTTGCTGACCAAATATGTCAAAACCGTACAGCATTGATATACAAAAAATGGAAGTAAACAGCATTGAAAAGCTACCCTGTGCTTGAGACTCCTTCTAAAAATGCCTACTTTAATTCGGCATGAGCAAACACGCATGCGCCAGCAAACTCACGCTGTATGCAACATAACTCTCTCTCCCCCTGAGTAATTAGATTCATTTATTACGATTTAGGTCCGTGATTAAATTCTTAAATCCGAGAAGCCATTCGCTTTAGTCTGGGTTTTTTTCCCCGTCTGATATGCATTAATACTGCAAAGGTTTGCGCGGTTGTGCTGAAAACACATCTCGCTCGTATCATTTCTCTTTAGAGTCGTTTGTTTCCGCCGGCGCCATAACTGCATCGTTAGCATTTTTGTTGTTGTACGCAGCTTGCCGCTAATCACATAATTCTTATTCCTCGTGAGCACCATTCGATCAAGCACCACCGATTAGTACGGTTGGCTATGTACGGTGCGAAATAAGTTCAACGTACGTACATACATACAAGCACAAACTCAATAGTATCCCACTCGCCTTCACATAACCACCCAGTGCCCACCACTCTCCGCACTCATTAGCAACGTCTCTATCTTACAGGAACACTGCGGCAACTAAGGACATGGGAGATATTTCCAAAAAAACCCCAGACTGCTTTAATCGTCCACCGAAGCTATGCAGCCAATTGGTTCGCAGCACACTTTTCACAGATACAGAACCTACAACAAGCGTGTGCCGGTCACAGCTGCTACAAAACCTTGAACACAATTGCCAGAGACCAAGTGGATGATTTCCCATGTGACACGAGTGCACGCACACACATGCATCACGACCGTGAGAAGCGATCATCTTCACGCGCCAAACGCAAACCGTGCACGCTTCGGTCCGGGCAGCGCATCACCTTTCCGTTGGTGATGTACTTGCAGTTGATCTTGAGGAAGCGCTCGCTCAACGCTTCCTCCTCCTCCGACGTGGACGAGACAACGCGAGCCGACCGGGCAGGATTGGGCGATGACGTTGCGGGCGCGGGCCTCTCCGACGGTCGCTGCGTCGCTGGCTCCGTGTCCTGGAAAAGGCAGGCGGGGGCGGTCGGTTTCGAGCGCAAGAGCTGTGTGGCGAAGGCCCGGCCGCAAGAGCGGTGTGAGAGTGAGCGAGAGCGCGCGTGTCGCACAAACTGCCGGCGAGGATTCGCCCGCGGACGCGACAGCAGGCGAAGTTAAAGCCGGACGTATTGAGTGTTTTTTCGCAAAATCAATCGCGTTTGACTTGAGGCTTATTTGTGAACACTGTTCTTCGGCAAGCCGGGGATATGTCAATGGCAATGCGCGTACACAAATGGCTTAACTGCGTGCGTAGATCACGGCGTAAATATAACTTGAAACAAACGCCGGCCTCTTCAACCCCTATGTTAATACCTGCAGTTTCTCAAACTCGGCCTCTGAAGACGTAGGAGACAGCGGGCTGACAGGACTCGCAGATGGGGAACTCCATCGCTGGACATATAGTCTGGGTCTGGAGTGTACAGCATCTGATGAACAGAGAAACAATCATACACACATGTACGCAGTGTGTGTGCATGTGAGCTAGTGGTGCTGGTCACCCACTCCCTCGTGTATCATGCCGGCTTTCATAGGTGTTCGCTAACACTTGCCCCTACAGTCTGTTAAGGCTATACGGGGGATCATTGTCTTTGTAAGCTACTGGTACCATCTCCGCTGACAACCGTAAACAAAACAATATTTTCAGGTGTGAAACTATTAAAAACATGATGATAATATCAATAAGATATTGTTTTTTAAACATCCCTACAATGTCAAACACATGTGTGGCACATACACGAGTTCGAATGGGAAAAAAAAAAACTCACTGTTGTTTTCAGAAATACACGTATTTAGCCAACTACTTACAGCCAAGACAAGTCTCAAGGTTACCGTCACTCATTAAAAATGCTGTCGGTGAAAAACGTTATGCTATTGATTAAATATAGATCGGTGAGAATCATGAATAACGTTCACAAATGTTAGGGCATGCCTCCCCCCTACAGAACGGCAGGTGGAGGCTGCTCACACATGCGTGCCCCAACTCGCATTTTGCTGGCGGCACTGACATGCTTTTCCGAGCAGAATTGCAACACAATTTGAATTTAAACGAGAGACCATCTTAAACGACATATTTTCTCCAATGATATGCATCGGTAACTATTGTTAAACAACACGATTCACGGGCCGGAAATTTACATCTTAAAATGGAGTCGAACAGAAAATGACAAATGTGTATGACATGTTTTGTGCGCTCTTCAGAATGATTCGTAGGCTTAGTGTGGAGGGGATTTGCGAGATTTGCTTACCTGTCCTGGAACTATCATGCGTGAAAAAAGTTTGTTGAGTTGTACCAGCTCATTAGGAGTGGTGTCGAATTTGAGAGCAATGCTGTTCAGCGTATCCTGGGCACCTGCCTGCAGAGGGGAGGCAATTAAACCGGCGTAAAACACAAAGCTAATAGAATGGAAACCTCTTTAAGACCCGTCCTGAGATGGGCTTGATATATAACTTTTGTAATGAATGCTATAAAATATAAAAAAAGGCTTCAAATTAGCAGGCATCTTTCTTCTAAAAAATGTAAAAAATAAATAATTTTCAGACAACGTTTTTTACCAGACCACTTTCTCCATTTGGTGGAACGTTTGTTGAAGTACGTTCAATAGCGTGCAAACAACAGATGATTAAAGTGATGTAGAAAACAGAACAAGAATAAAACACCATTACCCAAAATGGCAATAGCAAAACAATATAAAACAGCACCGCTTACTGCGTCATACAGAGAATCGCAACGACACCACCTCATTACGTGTTGTTGTGAAGTGTATGGTTAGTAACATAATTAGGCTTTCTGGTCAAATATTTGTATAATGTTGTTTTGGAGTGCCCATAGGCTGTTGGACTAAATCAACTATTGTATTTATACACGAAGCCGTATTATTGTACAACCCATAATCTTCCACAACGGCACAAAACGTTATCATCCAACATTGTTGTTTATGCTGAACAGGACTGCATTGTGATGATGAAGTCCTCTTGCAAATAGCATCTGGCAACCCAAAAGCATTTGCTTACAGCCCCAACTCTGATGACGAGTCTCAAAGGTTGAATAAACTGGTCCAAAGTTTGCATACATGAATAGTGCTGCATGACAAATGTCACAGAAGTCAATTGTCCAATGAACTAAAATACACTGCATGTTTATTTGGAGATAAGTGGAAGTGTTCATATCACCCACAATGGGTTTGTGTGTGCAACCCGATATGCGGGTCAAAGTTGAACATGCAGACGATGGTTTACATCCTGGTTTGTTTCCCCCTTATATCATTTCCGCGGAATTTGAGGAAGTTGAATCTAACATCTGATTCAACGTGTTCATTACCGTGTACTCCATCGTGCCTTTGGGCTTCTGGAAGGACATTCTTCTTTCTTTTCGCTCGCCTGACTTCTTCTGGCCTGTGTCTGCAACCCCCACAAAAGACGAGCGATAAGGGGGGGGGAGGGAAATGTAATATTATGTTTAATTAGACGCAATACACAAACACAATCAATTCCATCAGTAAATTTCTCCCATTGTGTACTACAAGGATTATATATATATAACAAATGGGGAATTTAGGATCTTTTGATTATTTTGCCAGGGGGAAAGTGTGGGGAATACGAGATGGCCCATTCAATTGTTGATGCGGGGATACCTGCATAAGAATAATTACTGGACAAATGGCAATCAAGGCTACAATCATAGCAGCTTAAAATTAGATATTTTACAGTGAGAGGGGTGTGCCCCACATGCATCTGCTCGTTGTTCCAGGATTAGAATAGCGTGCTCAGTGGTTTATTTCAGAATTCCACGATTTACAATGCTTATTTGTCTTTGTATTTATACTGATGCATTGCAGAACACTGTGTGCCTGCACAAGTTATAAGCATCTCAAATTACCCGTTAAAGACGGGGGATGGAGCATAAACGATGTTAGTCCAATATACAATGAACCTGGCAAACCTGAGTCCATTTTCTCAGCCACAAAGATTTTGTCATCAATTGCTAGTGTCATCTTAAGCAGTCACGAGCACACCTTTCACCAACGTCCGTCAACCGGCATGGTGAAGTATGGTCAAACAACCCCCAAGACCGATACGGCGTGGTGAAGCCTCCATCCAACAGTATATTGACAGATTGCGATTATCATTTATTTGGATTTGAAATACGGTATAAGCGTACATGAACAAGCTCATATATAAGGACTTTAATCATTCAGAAAATAAAACCCACCTTATTTAAAAGTGGAAGACTGAATAGAAGAAACTAAAGTCTTTAGTTCTTGCGAGATAGATTTGGCAGAAAGTTTTCGCAGGGTTCTTTAGTCAGCAGCACTATAATCTTGAGCAATCGTTTTGTGCGTTAAAAAATAATTACATGCTCAATATAGCAGAGGGTTTATTTATTAGCGACGTACAGTGGCTAATATATGTGTAACAGCCCACGTGCAATTAAAGCTTGCTTTGGGTCAAACAAATGTTGTGGTAAAACAACGGCAATGATGAGGCGATGAGGCGATGAGTCAGTATAAATTATCTTATAGCGTCACAATAAATAAAAAAAACTCCCAATGGACTGTCTGCTGGCCAAATTGTATTAATGTAATCACGCTGTTAAAATGTAAATATTATTCAGCAGTGGCAGCGTCTTCTTGCTGGGTGTTAAGGCCATTAAAATAAGTCATCAGTGCTGGGCATCTTAAGAGGATGAAGGGGCCTGAAAAGTTCACGTGAACATAGGCGAATATAAAAATGCTTAAACAAGACAGCTTTTATATAGATTGATAAAAGCTCCTTTGGAAATATAAAAGTGTGTTTGTTTACCCAGGAGAGCTGCAGTGAGTCTCAAAACTTTGTCAGAAGGGCCCTGCCAGATTTATATATACCGAGGGGCATCGTTGTAATCCAAAATATAATTCCGAATGAGTAATTTGTGGGTAATGTTTCAGCATTTGGATGTTTGGCTAATACCAGTTACGGTGTATGTTTCTTTTGGCCATGGGAAGAAATCAGAGAACTCGGATATAGAAAATCCACAGTGCAGCATCTGAGTCGGCAATCAAAACCCTTCTCGCTGTATTTTGAACTTCTTTCGTCCCCTACACAGCCAACCGTGCTAAACGGAGGTGCTGTCGGGCACGAGTGTTACCACTGCACTACCTTTCCGCCCAAAGGGAATTGATAACTAACTGCAACATTGCATGATTGCAGATTCATAGCGATGTGACCAGAGGTTAAATGACAAAAGCAATGGCTGCATTCATTCTGGTTTAGCTCTTGGTAAAGACATTTCACCGACGAGCTAACATATCAGACACTTCATCTCGTGCCATAGACTTATCACTGTACACATTGGAGGCTGGGGTATCAACCACACACTTAATTTGGCCAAAAGACATTACGAGCGGCGATTCAAAGGGATCAACATATCTGGCCATATGCCGGAAAGTCCACTCAGTGGAAAGCCAAGAAGGCAATGATTATCACAGAGGGGAACAGGTGGGAAAGTGAGATACATTGCAAGCACAGGTTACCGGGTGGCATTATCAGCATACGGAGACTTGAAATGGATGGTTAAAAAAGACTGACAATGACACGCGCGAGCCCTGCAGACTCGCTGGCTCTGCAGACTCGCTGGCTCTGCCTCCATTAGGTTGAGTGACAACACATGACTCACGATCATATCAAGAAAACAGGAAATTTGTGCATGATGAAGGGCACTGTAGCCTTACTCAATCACTCTTTTGCTTCGACCTTGCACACTACTTTAATCTACCAGACATTGCACTGACATGTTATTACAAACATAAAGATTTTTGTCAATCATAAAATACAACTGTTTCAATAAAAAATGTTTCTACAACTATTTAGATTACCATATACACATGCTGAGATAACTGTTGAAAGCAAAGTACATCCTGCTCATTGAATGTTAACAATGCTGCTACTGTATGCAGACATACATTTCATGCCAATAATGGTAGCAAAGTGATTAGCTTCTCCATCATAAACTGCAGCACATGCCTGGCAGTAATTGCCAAGATAAAGTTGCAAGCTAACTGGTTTTACGATGTGGTTGGAGCCAGTTCACGTGCTGTAACCATCACAAAATCATAAACGTCACCTGTGCACACTGTGAACCATGATGGAGTCTGCAAATGTTGTAGTTTTAAATGAATATGTACATGAGAGTGGTGGTTCAGTTGGTAGGACACTGCACAATGAAGCCACTTACCCAAGTTCAATTCCTAACATCATTGCCAAGTGATATATGAACCAACCATCTGCAATTGTGGTAGGTTATGATAAAACAACTTTTTATTTTACCAGGTAATGCCTATTGAGCTCTATAGCTCTTTTTCAGAAGCGATCTGGTCATAAATGATAGCCCAATAAAGTGGCTTAACATGTGTAAATTTATAGTAGGCAAATACTCTAAGACGCATGACGTTGAATCTAAATGTGGAGGGGAAACTGGAGGACCTGGAGAAAAATCCACACGAAAATGGGGAGAGACACACGCAAACTCCAAATATACAGGCATCAAGGTCGGGATCGGACCCACAACCTCCTGCATACCAGGCGAGGTAGTTAACATCTCGACACCATGCCAGGGTATAGCAACGCTTTTCTCAAGCAATTGATTGACAAAAGGTTATACATTATTCATCAATATTACAATTAATATATAACCAAACATGACGCATGTACTTGGCCAGAAACACTCCTGCCTAAAGTTATACTTAACATCATGGAACATTTTTTGTGGTTGCGGTCATATTATTTCTTCTGAAAGTTATAAAACATTTAACACTTGTCTACCTTACAGCAAACAGCTCTATGCTAAGTCCTTTGTTTGCATCCGTCAGAAGTTTGGAGACCCGAAAAAATTAAATATGACAATTAATTTGGTGTTTAAAAATGATGTGAACGAAGCTGTTTGCTCATCCAGTGCGGCACAAGCAAACGGTACGAAACACATCAAACATTAATCATATCAAGGTGCAGCAAATTATCCTGTGCTATGCACACACCATGTTAGACTGCAATTTCAGATGCTGTACGTTTTTTTATTGCATCAACTACAAATGACAACGCTTGTATAACATTGATTATTTTGGATATTAACATTTTGACTAGTCTTAGGTTTTCACTGAGCAGTCCCAAAAATATGAGACAATTTTGCTGAACAACGAATATAATTTTATCAACGTATTTTAGAATTGTCATAAAAGGCATCACACGATGGTTAGTTAACTCAACACGTTCAATAACTACGTATAATAACAAAATATATATACATTTGTTCATGAGATATAGTATTTGATACAAATTTGAACAAATGGTGTTCTTTAAATAGGCCATTGCCCAAAACGTTAGACTTTTGTTAATTTGCTTTTGCAAGAGTGTTAATAACACACATGGCACTTTTATGTTTTTTACAAATTCAGTAGGTTTATACATTTCAATTGACCTTCTGGGGTAATTCACTATATAAATACGTAATATTTTGTACGCATTTATAGAGACCAATTTACATGCTAGCCAATGTTTTTGTTGTTGTAACATTTTGACCAAAACATTCATGTGTCTACTAACAATAATGAGCACATGGCCAAGATATGCTTAGGCTATTTTGTCAACATTTGAATCTCGTCTCTATCAAACTGGTTTACACCAGTACGCATTCAGAAATACAAATTTGTATGAACTTGTCATTTGCAAGAGAATACACCAAAGTTCGTGAAAACATTTTCACGTAACAGTCAGCCCTTGCATCAGATATTGGAACAGTAGTTTGATGAGTTCACAGCAACTGGTGGGATTTGGTAGAATCTAGCACAAACATCAATGTGCCTCAAGATGTGTCAAGACGCAAGGCATTAAGAGAAAATGTAATTGCAATTACATCCGACTTGAAAAGCTTACACGCACTCGTCTGACCTGTGACATTCAACAAATCATGTTTCCACACATCAACTCAAGCGAGGATGGGTGCAAGCACCTATTCAGTAATTCTTAAAATTCACAAGCGAAGCACGCATGTGTGTCCACCCACCCATTGAGGAAATATACGCAGCTTATAAGCAGAGTAGATCTCTATTTGACATTCTACCAAATATTAACTTTACAACCCCACTCGTGTTGGGGGAGTGCGGGGCGAAATGTCAACTACCTCGCCTGATATACAGAAGGTCATAGGTTCGAGCCCGACCCTGACACCTGTATTTTTGGTCTTTACATGTTACTCCCCGTGGTCGCGTTAATTTATCTCCGGGTCCTCCGTTTTTTCCCTCCACATTCAGAAACAAGCGTTTTAGAGTATCTGGCCGCTATAAATTTCCATACGATGAGCCTCTTCGTTGAGCTATAATTATTGGCCAGGTCGCTTATGAAAAAATAGCTAAACATCTCTGTGGGCC